CCCCAGGACTCAGATTCTGACTTTCACACATGAGCCAAGATTTATACACATGCAAATAAATAAATGTTACTGGAAAAATTAAAAGCAGTTTAAGATTCTGGCATCCTGCCTTCACTAACATCTGTCTCCTTTGTTGTAAATTTGAGTCTGATTTCTATATAACTGCACATAGGCATGCTTACAATTCCAGGAGGGTCTGTCCAGACCAAGCCTCACCAAACCCCTCCCTAGATAAGGACCAACCACACTTCACCAAGAATGCTTCATTACCCAAGCCTCTCACCCAGACCCAGTCCTCTGTTTAACCCTAAAGCTCTCTCTGGTCAGTGCCCTCAAAGATGGGGGAAATGTTTACCTCCCATATTCCCAAAATGGCTATTTTAACTAAACTCCCTTTTTGCCTCTAGATATATGCACGTTTCGTTCTAAGTATCTGAGCATTTTAATTGCAGCCAACAAAAGACTTGCTGTGTAACAATTTCCGGTTTCACCAACAAACACCTTGTCCCTGAGCCAGAGCCACAGTGCCAAGTTCACTCTTAAAAAACCACTATTAAGGGCTGGAGAGATGGCTCAGAGGTTAAGAGCATTGACTGCTCTTCCAGGGGTCCTGAGTTCAATTCCCAGCAACCACATGATGGCTCACAACCATCTACAATTCAATCTGGTGCCCTCTTCTGGCATGTAGGTAGAACACTGTATATGTAATAAATAAATAAATCTTTAAAAAAAAACCACTATTAAATTTGTTTTATCTGTATTAGATTTTCCCTTTACCTTAGAATCTACTAAAATAACATTTCAAATCCCCTTATACTAATCAGAGACCTTTAAACTTCAAATCCTGGCCTAGATGTGGTGATGCATGCTGGTAATCTCAGCACTCAGGAGGGAGGCAGAGGCAAAAGAATTGCCACATCTTCAGCCAGCCTGGGCTACATAGTAAGACCCTCTCTCAAAAGACACAGGTTAATATCAAAGGTGTTCCAACTATGCATCCTCTGATTTCATAGAAAGGAATAGACAGCTTGACTAAGGGGCTTGCCTCCAGAAGCTCCTGACTCCTCACCCAGGATGAAGAGCTCATCCAGGAAGCTTTGCTTATGGAACCTTTGCTGTGATCATGGACTCAGGCTGACACTGGTGAATGAAACAGACACTGATGAACAGGTAAACACGAATTCAAGTAAGAAAGAGTGGTGTATGGCACACACTTCTAATGTCAGTGCTTGGGAGGTAGAGGCAGGAGGATGGATCTCTGTGAGCTTGCAGTCAGCCTGGTGAACATAGCAAGTCCTAGGCCAGCCAGAGTTACATAGTGAATGAGACCCTGTCTCAAAAAAAAAAAAAAAAAAGAGAGAGAAAAAAGGAATGTCAGTGTGGTGATGCACCTGTACCCTAGCACCCAAAAGTCTGAGGAAGGAGGATCAGGGCTGCCTTTGGCTACATACTGATTTCTAGGCCAGCCTGTACTATATAAGACTTCATCTCAAATATATATAAGTGATTCTGAGAAATTGTAATAGCTATCATGAAAGAGCCCAAGAGATGATCCAGAAGAATATACTGGGGCAGGTGGGAGCCAAAAGCAGGTATCCTCACAGGCAGGAAAGAAGGCCTCGCTGAGAAGGTGAAATTTAAACAGAAAGGAGAGAAATGAGGAGTTGGGCAAGCATATTTCAAGCAGAGGCTAAGAGATGAGTTTTTTGAGAAGAGATAATGTAAGGCTGGATAGCTGCAAAGAGATGAACCAGGAAGCTGCAGCACAGGACAAGAAGAGGCAGGCCTGGGAGGCTGGGTTCCCATGTCGGGACACCCTGGAATTCTCTCTCTGCACGAGAACTCATCACAAGATGGTTTCTCATAGCACAGCCTAGCTTCAAATGTGAGCTCCTGGCTGCATGCTGGTAGAGGCCAGCCTGGACTACAGAGCGAGTTCCAGGACAGCCTCCAAAACAATACAGAGAAACCCTGTCTCGAAAAACAAGAAGAAGAAGAGGAGGAGGAGGAGGCAAGTGAAAGGGAAATTTGCCTATTGAACTCTTGTCACCTCTGAAACTTTCCTTGTCCTCTATTCACACAGCAAACCCAGTCTCCAATATTGTAACAACAACAAAAACAATAACTCCTGGATTTAAACGATTTTTAAATTGTGTGTGTGTGTGTGTGTCCCTGTGAATGCAGGTTCCTGCAGAAGCCAGAGGGGTTGTGTCCCCTGGAACAAAAGTAGAGACGATTGTGAGCAGCTATACATGGGTGCTGGGGCCTCTGGAAGAACAGTGTGGCTCTTAACCCTGAGCTGTGTCTCCAACTCCCGATTCACTCTCATGTGAGCAACACTTACAACCTTCCTTTGAACTGTGATGATCTATGTTCTAGTAGCAGTGGGAGCCCAGAGCCTTCAGAATTTCACAGATGTTTCCAACCACAGAAAGAACAAGAGGCATAAGAGTGGGTGAGAACAGGAGAAACATCCTGGGTGGGGCTGGGGTGCTGTAGAAGCACAGATGAGAGGAAGTTCCTGTGCATATTTGTAAGTGAACGTGAAAGTTTGCCCATGGCAACAACACTTAGAGAAGTAGAAGATGAAATCAGGAAGGGACCAAAGTAAGTTTAGGTGGCGCTGGAATTCAAGGCCTCTATCATGGTAAGCAGGTATCCTACCCATTGAACTACACTGTCAGTGCCTGGACCCTGGCCATTAAGGAACCACATCTGATCAGTGCACACATCTACCTAAAGAATGGAGGGAAATATATTGGTGTCTCTCAGAAATGAGGAAAACTCTAAATAAGTTGTACCCAATCATGTAGCTAATGTTTCACTGAGCCCTGATTTAATGCAACAAACTGGTTCAAGAAAAATATAACTAAGACATGGGATTTTGTTGGCTAAATAATGTGTGATACATCCATACATTAGCTTTGTGAGACAGTCTGATTGGGTAACCCTGGCTTCTCTCCAGTGATCAGTCCTCCTTCCTCTACTGAATGCTGGGGTCACAAGCAAGCACCACTGTATCAGCAAACACAGCAACTCTTCAGTCTACTTGTTGGAAAACTCCACATTCAAATGTAAAAAAATGAAGATGTAAACCGGGCGCTGGTGGCGCACGCCTTTAATCCTAGCACTCAGGAGGCAGAGGCAGGCAGATCTCTATGAGTTCGAAGATAGCCTAATCTACAGAGCGAGTTCCAGGACAACCTCCAATACAGAGAAACCCTGTCTCGAAAAACCAAGGGAAAAAAATGTAATCCCAGCACTGGGGAAGGAAGAGGCCTGAGGACTGGGGTCAAGGTCATCCTCTACAGTTGGAGTTCCAGGCCAGTCTGGCTTACCTGAGGTCCTGTCTCAAAAAAATAAATAAATAGGGCTGAAGAGATGGCTCAACTTTTACTGTTTTTGCCAAGTCCATTCAGTTCCAAACACCCCAATCAGGCAGCTAACCACTGCCTGTAACTCCAGCTCTCTGAATGCCCCTGTACCCACGTGTGTACATTCCCACAAACAGACTTGCACATATTTTTAAGGCAATATTAAAATATAATGATGGACAGGGAAATGTGCTCTGCTTGTGAATGGGGTTTGCAGAGTCCAGGCCTGGCACAAATGAATCCATGTTCTACCCCAACTCTGAACACACCAACTCTGTTACATGCCTATAATCTCACCACCATTGGAAGTCAGGGGAATCAGGAACTAAAGGTCATCGCTGATAGGTGAGTCAAAGCCAGCCCAGCTACATGAGGACCTGTCTCTCAGAAAATTGAGGAAATGGGGCTGGAAAGATAGCTCTTGTGGAAGACCAGAATTCAGTTCCCAGCATCCACATGGGGCAGCTCACAACAGCCTGTAAATCCAGTTCTGGGGGAGCAGACAACCTCCAGTGGCCTCCTGGGGTACTTGCAGCCAAGCGCTTCACACACAGACAAGCCAGCACACAGGTATATAGGTAAGTTTTTAAAAAGAAGTGAAGACTCGGGAGGCAGAAGCAGGAGGATCTTTGTGAGTTCAGGGCCAGCCTGGTCTACATAGCCCGTCCAGGACAGCTAGCACTGTTACACAGAGAAACCCTGTCTGGAAAAACAAAATAAGCACTCAGGAGGCAGAGGCAGGCAAGTCTCTGTGAGTTCAAGACCAGTCTACAAGAACTAGTTCCAGGACAGCCTCCAAAGCTACAGAGAAACCCTGTCTCCAAAAGAGAGAGAGAGAGAGAGAGAGAGAGAGAGAGAGAGAGAGAGAGAGAGAGAGAGAGAGAGAGAGAGAGAGAGAGAGAGAGAGAGAGAGAGAGAGAGAGAGAGAGAGAGAGAGAGAGAGAGAGAGAGAGAGAGAGAGAGAGAGAGAGAGAGAGAGAGAGAGAGAGAGAGAGAGAGAGAGAGAGAGAGAGAGAGAGAGAGAGAGAGAGAGAGAGAGAGAGAGAGAGAGAGAGAGAGAGAGAGGAGAGAGAGAGAGAGAGAGAGAGAGAGAGAGAGAGAGAGAGAGAGAGAGAGAGAGAGAGAGAGAGAGAGAGAGAGAGAGAGAGAGAGAGAGAGGAAAAACATAGTAAAATGAAATTAAAGTTGGGTGTGGTATTTCTAGGTCAGCCTAGTCCAGGACAGCTAGGACTGTCACACAGAGCAAAAACAACAAAATTAGATGCATGCACTACATAGTTCTATGTTTTTTTAAAGAGAGGGAGACGGGAGGAAGGGAGAGAAGTCACTCCTCTGATCTGGAACCTTTGGACTAACTGTGCTATTGCCTACTACCCACAACTTTTCCTCAGCCTGTCTTCCGTGTGGTAACACTTTCTAAAACTGGAGAAGACAGGGAAAAAGAAAGTTTGAAGGGAGCAGAATTTGAGCCCATTCCCTGTTCCCTTGAGCTGTCCTCTCTCGTTAAGGACATGTCCTTCCAAAAGAAAAGCATTGTGTTTCCAGCCCACACAGACCTAAACTTTTTCTCAATCACGTGCCTGGCCAGAGCCAGTCGGCAGCCATGTAATGCGATCACCAGGGCCAGCCTCCCGACCCACCCAAGCTGAGCCGGGTGACCACAAGGTTAGCCTGCAGAACTACGCAGCAGTCACACACACAAAACCAGCACTACAGACTGGACCTGTGGCTTGGAGACAGGGACTCTTGGGAACAGCCCTCTGCAAAGGTGAGCAAGGGACTGTTGGGAGGGGATTATTTGGGAAGGCCAGGATACATCCAAGCCTGCCTCTGCCATCAGCCTGTCCTTGCCCCTCCTCGGCAGGTGAAGTGTGCCTGGGCTGTTCCCTACCTGTGCCACACCGGGTCAGCACCACCTGCCTGTGTCTGCACCTTCTGCCTCCTCCATGTTGCTTTTCTCAAAACTGATGGAGTTCTTATGAGCCCAGTCTACTTTTAAAGCTGGTGGGGGAACAGTTCCCCAAAGAGAAATGAAACTGGAAGAGATTGTTGGGAGGCAATCCTCATCCTAGAAGATCATACTCTAAGTCTCAGGAAGGATGTGTGGGCTGGGAGCTGGGCAGCCAGGTCAAGGTGCCTTGAGTAAAACAGTAACTCCAGGTTCGGGCCATCAGTACATCCAATGGTCCTGAAGAAGGACACCCACCAAGCTACTGGGTAGAGATGGAGCCGAGAAATGCTTTTCAGGGAGAGGTCCGGGGTGTGTAAGCCAGGCGAGACACAGGGCTGCTGCATGTGAGTTGCTGTCAGTTTATCTTGTAATTCCAAACAGATGTCACTGGCTGAGACAAGCAAGCAAGTCAATTTGATAAAATAAATGCAAAGAGGGTCTGCTTCTGCCTTTACCAAACAAGTCACTAGAAGGAAGGAAAACCATACAAATGCCCAGCCACTAGCCCTGGGAACATTCTGGGAGCCAAAACAAAACAAAAGGAAACACTTTTCTTATTTTGGGCTCTGTGTTTATTTATTCAGCAAGTGTTTCCTGAATGTGGGCTGGGTGCCAAGCTGTATTTGGCACTTAGACACCATTATAAGCCAGGGCCTTACAGATGCTAGACTTGTGTCCTATAATCAAGCCACACACGTTCTTTTGTTTTTCGTTTAATTTTGAGACAAGCTTTTGCCAAGCTGCCCAGGGTGACTCTGAACTGTGATCTTCCTGCTTTGGCATCCAAAGTAGATGGGTTTCTGAATGTGCACAACCATAACCGCTGGCCAGAAACTCTTAAAGGACATTACCCAAGGGAGTCTGAGCTTCTGGAGAACCCTTCATCATCTCTGTTCAGCATCAGCCAGCTTTCTTCCCGCCTCTCCTCACACCAGGGCCTCTGTTGCTCTCGTGAGCCTTTCTCCTGCAGAAGGGCATGTCTAGGCTGCTGCCTCTGAGGCTGGTGACTGGCCAGGAGGTCCCCTTGACTGGCTGGCTCTTCCCTAGGATGCAGACAGCCTGTGCAGAAGGCTGGGGGCGGAAGAGCATCATGTCAGTTGTTGGCTCTTGTGAAATAGTTTTTATCGTTCTTTTTTTGTTTTTGTTTTTCAAGACAGGGTTTCTTTGTGGCTTTGGAGACTGTCCTGGAACTAGCTCTTGTAGACCAGGCTGGTCTCGAACTCACAGAGATCCGCCTGCCTCTGCCTCCCAAGTGCTGGGATTAAAGGCGTGCACCACCACCACCACCACCACCACCACCACCACCACCACCACCACCACCCAGCTTTGAAACAGAATTCTTTTTTTTTTTTTTTTTGGTTTTTCGAGACAGGGTTTCTCTGTGGCTTTGGAGGCTGTCCTGGAACTCACTTGGTAGTCCAGGCTGGTCTCAAACTCACAGAGATCCGCCTGCCTCTGCCTCCCGAGTGCTGGGATTAAAGGCGTGCGCCAACAACGCCCGGCGAAACAGAATTCTTAAAGAATATGGAACTGGGGCTGGAGAGATGGCTCAGTGGTTAAGAGCACTGACTGCTCTTCAAGAGGACCCAGGTTCAATTCCAGCATCCACATGACAGTTTAAAACTGTAACTCTGGTTCCAGGGAATCTGACACATTCATACTAATGCACATAAAATAAAAATAGTAAGTTATTTAAAAAAATGGAGCCTGAGACAAAATGTTGAGAAGCCTGGCTTCCACTAGAGACCTTGGAGGGTTTGGAGTGAGACTCTTTAAAAAATATTTCTGGGGCTGGAGAGATGGCTCAGAGGTTAAGACACTGGCTGCTCTTCCAGACGTCCTGAGTTCAAGTCCTAGCAACCATATGGTAGCTCACAACCATCTATAATGAGATCTGGTGCCCTCTCCTGGCATGCAGGCATACATGCAGGCAGAACACTGTATACATAATAAATCAAAACAAAGAAACACAAAACATTCTAAAAATATATTTCTGGCCGGCCAGAGGTGGCGTACTCCTTTAATCCAGCACTTTGGAGGCAGAGGCAGGTGGATCTCCATGAGTTTGAGACCTGTCTTGGCTCCAAAGCAACAGAGAAACTCTGTTGGAAAAACAAAACAAAACAAAACACCAAAGGGGGAAAAAATGGGGGTGCTAGCCCTGATCTACCACACCCAGATTGTTTTTGTTTCATAAGACAAGATGCTAGTCCTGCCTGGCCTGGAACTTTCTGGATAGCTGGGACTAGTCTGAAACTCTTTCAGTCCTCCCACCTCAGCCTCCCCCGTGCTGGGATTGCAGTCATGAGGCAACACCAGCAATTTTGTTGAAACTGTTACTGTTTTTGTTCTGTAAGTTATTAGGCCAGGTGTAATGGCACACACCTGTGACCCCAGCATTCCAGATGAGGTTGGCCTGGGCTACAGAGAAAGAGCCCGATGCAAAGACAAAGCAAGCTGGATGTGTTGCTGCATCCGTGATCCCAGCACTCATAAGTGGAGGCCGAGGAGTCATTTCAAGACCTGGGCTATAACTCCTCTCCAGAGGAAGGGACAAAAGGAACAGGAAGAGTCCATGGGGGCTAGCCCAGAAGCAGTCCTTCTTGGTTGCCCATCTAGTTTTCTGTTTGTTGTTTAATACTTACTCACTTTTGTTTTATGTATATGGGTGTTTAACCTGTATGTATGTTTGTATACCACATGTATGTCTGGTGCCCTTGGAGGCTAGAAGAGGGGTTGAGTCCCCTGGAACTGGAATTACAGATGTTGGAATTAACAGTACTTGCTGCTCTTACAGATGACCTGAGCTCTGCAGCACCCACATGGGGCAGCTCCTAACTGCCTTTAATTCCACTTTCAGAGGAATCCAACGCCCTCTTCTGGCCTCCACAGGCAGTGTTTTCACATAGAAAGTCACACACCCATACACATACATAATTAAGAATTAAAAAGAAGCTGGGCGGTGGTGGCACACGCCTTTAATCCCAGCACTCAGGAGGCAGAGGCAGGCGGATCTCTGTGAGTTCGAGGCCGGGCTGGACCGACAGCCTCCAAAACAATACAAAGAAACCCTGTCTCGTAAAACCAAAAAAAAAAAAAAAAAAAAGAATTAAAAAGAATGGCAGTTATAGTGGGGCACATCTTTAATCCTAGCACTTGAGAGGCAGAGGCAGGCAATTTGAGACCAGCCTGGTCTACAGAGCAAGTTCCAAGATAGTCAGTCCTACACAGAGAAACATGTCTCTAAAACAAACAAAACTTTTTTTTTCTTTTTTGGTTTTTCAAGACAGGGTTTCTCTGTGACTTTGGAGGCTGTCCTGGAACTAGCTCTTGTAGACCAGGCTGGCCTCGAACTCACAGAGATCCGCCTGCCTCTGCCTCCCAACAAAACTTTTTAAAAATCATTAAAATAACTTCACAAGATGTTTACAAAGCAATAAAACTTCTAACTGGCTCATTTGGTAAAGGCACTTGTAGTCAAGCCTGAGTTGCATCCCTAGAATCCACAAGGTAGAAGGAGAGAACAGACTCCTAAAGGTTGTCTTCTGATCACCACACGTGTGCTATGTCTGTGAGGACACACGTACAGATATGTTAATTAATATGTAATAAAGCATCTGGGCAGTGGTGTGCACGCCTTTAATCCCAGCACGCAGGAGGCAGAGGCAGGGAGATCTCTGTGAGTTCGAGGTCAGCCTGGTCTACAAAGAATTCCAGGATAGGCTCCCAAGCTACAGAGAAACCCTGTCTCAAAAAAAAAAAATGCAATAGAGCATTTTAATATAAGTGACACCCATTCACATAATGACAACACACATCATAACACCATAGCTACATAAGCAACAATTCAGAGAAACTAACCAGACCACTCTGGGAAGAAAGAAAGACTTATTGGGGATCAGCCTGGGGACACAGGGAAGAGCAAGCAAGTTTTTTTTTTTTTTTGAGACAGGGTTTCTCTGTATTGCTTTGGAGGTTGTCTTGAACTCGCTCTGTAGACCAGGCTGGCCTCGAACTCACAGCAATCCACCTGCCTCTGCCTCCTGGGTACTGGGATTAAAGACGTTCGCCACCAATGCCTGGCTTTGGGGGAAGGTTACAGTTAAAATTATCCCTGGAGAATTAAAGGTAGTTCCTAGCAGTTAGGGACCCCCTAAAATATCTGTTTTTTTTTTTTAATAAATAGAACCATCCCTTTAGGCTTGTTTACCCAACAAAGTCAGCACTAGCTGCATATCAGGTTTAAGGTCAGTCTGGGATATACAAGACCCTTCAAATTTAAAGAAAAGAAAGACTTCCTTGTTCCGACTGACCTCAAACCTGATGATATGCAGCTGGTGCTGACTTTGAAGGTCTTTTTGTTGGTTTTGTTTTTGTTTTTTGGTTTGGTTTGACTTTTTGAGACAGGGTTTCTCTGAGTACCTCTGAATGTCCTGGAATTTGTTCTGTAGACCAGACTGGCCTCATACTCAGAGATCTGCTTGCCTCTGCCTTCCAAGTGCTGGGATTAAAGGTGTGCGCCACTACCACCTGGCCTTGATTAATTCTTAAGGAAGGAGACAAGAATATTTGTTGCTTCACAAGAAGCCAATGTCTAGGTGATATTAGGATATTTCTACTTTATCTATCCATCTATTTAGTGTGCGTGCGTGCGTGCGTGCGTGCGTGCGTGTGTGTGTGTGTGTGTGTGTGTGTGTGTGTAATAGGAATTGGTTCTCTCCTTCCTGCTTGCTTTGAGGTAGGGGCTCTCTTTTCCTCCTGTCATTAAATTCCACCTTGAGTCACCTATCTCTGTCTCCCAATGTACCTACAAGTGC